TTATCTCCTTGGGAGAGCCGCAGCTGAGGAGAAAGGGTCTTATGTACCCTGGGAGAGAAAAGCAATTGGTTGAGAATCAAGACAGGCCTCTTCTGTAAAGTGGGAGCTACACAGCACTGTTTCCCTTATTGTGAGGACAGGACAAAAATAACAATGACAACTTTGACATAGGGCTTTCCTGACAATGCTGTGAAGTGAGCCATACATATATTACCGTCACCAATTTCTAGATGAAAATTGAGATGCAAAGAAGCAATGAGAGTTGCCTTTGGTCAACTGGCCAGTAAGTGTCAGGGCCAGGATGTAAACCTTGGTCTCTTGACTCCCTACCCAGCCCTCTTTCTACAACACCATAGAACCCCAATAATAATAACTCATAGGTAATTAGCACTTATAACATTTACAAAGTACTTTCCTTGCAACAGCCCCATTAGATAGGTAGGGAGTTATACCCATCTTATTGAAAGGGAAACTGAGGCTTAGGTTAAGGGACTTGCTTGTGATCACACAGCTAAGTGTCAAAGCCAGGTCTCTGCTGGACTGGACTCAGTATGATACAGCAGCACCTTTAATTTGCTTCATTTTTATCAAGAGCAAATGACACTTCCACTCTACCCCACCCCACTCTCACACTACTTTTAAACCTTTCCTTTCCTTCTTCTCTGTAGAGGAGCTGAAAGTTCTCTGCTTCAAGTTCCCATGGCTGCAATTTGCTCTTGGCACTCAGTATTTGAAAGGTTATCTGAGATTGTACACTCACATTGTCATAGATGAAACAAGGACTTTTTTGCATTGAAAGTCTCTAAGGGGAGATCGCCTTTGCAAGTAATGATGTTATAAAGGAAAAACAGCCAAAGACAAAATTAGGCTATGTATGTAATAGCTTTAGCAAAATAAAATAAGAGGCAGAAATAAAAGATGTTGTCACTTCTCCATATCTGTTTCTGTCCCACTATAATTTTTTTACTGCTTATTGCCAGAGAAATCACAGAAGCCAAGCAAGAGACTCACTGAGTCACAAACTGTCTGAGCTGTGGATTGCATGTAGGTTTCACTGGATTTGGAATTGGAGAGAAAATTGGTGCTTACTTAAAGTCAGGAAGAAAAGGAGTAGTTTATTGGGGGCTCATGATAATAAGGCAGATTACATTGATCTATGAAAGATTGGTTTGGCCTAGAATTGAGCTGCTTCTGCCCACTAGATGCCAAGTATACATATATTCTCCTTATTGAGCAAGAGTACTAGTAAGGGCTTCCTGTTCTTCATAAAGCCACAGAGCCCTGGGGCATTTCCTAGTGGGACAGTAGCAGGGAAAGCAAGTATTTTCCCAGGGTCACTTTCTTGCTCCTTAATGCACATTCTAACCAATCTTGCCAACTTACCCTGATCTTCAGAGACCTTCGTCTTCTGTTTTCCATCCACCTGGGTATGTCCAGCCTCTGACTCACCTTTCAGAAAGCCAGTTTTGCATGGATACTGTTCATTCTGTCAAGGGAGCCTTTGAATGCTGTTCATCTACCTAGAATGTCCTTTCCTCCAATCCATAGTCCATCTTGTCTCTGTGTAGCATCATCTCAGTTTACCTGGCCTTACGTGGTACTGAGGAAATAGGCTTGTTCTTGTTTTGAGGAAGACAAAATCCTTAAAGATTTGTGCTGGTTATGGATTCTTTAAAAATTGAAAAAAAAATTGAGAATTTTCACCATGAGCTCCCTTTTCCTCATTTCATTTCACTCAGATGCCTTCTGCCACAGTCTCCTCCTTTACCTCTGTCTCACACGAAGAGATGCCTTTACTCCTTACGCCTTAACCCCTCTGCCAGCACAAGTGATCCCATTCCATACCATCTCCTCCAACTGATTGCCCCTCTGTCATCCCCAACTGCTTTCAATCTCTCCTTGTCTACTGGCTCCTTCCCCACTGTTTACAAACATGCCCATGTATCCCTCATCCTCAAAGAACTCTCACTTAGTCTTTCCTTACCCACTGTTACTCCATATCTCTTCTGCAGATAATCTCCTTGAAAATTCAAATCAGCAATAGGTGTCTCAACTTTCTTTCCTTCATCCCTTTTCAGTCTGGTTTCTGACCTCATCATTCAACTGAAACTGCTCTCCAAAGTTACCAGTGAGCTCTTAATTGTCAAATCCAAATGACCTTTTCTCAGTTCTTATTCTCCTTGACTTCTCTGCAGCCTCTGACACTATTGATCAACATCTTCTCCTTGATACTTGTTTCTCTTTAGGTTTCTGGGACACCACTCTCTCCTGGTTCTCTTCCTACCTATCTGACTACTCCTTCTCAGTCTTCTTTGCTGGATCTTCATCCAGATCACACCGTCTAACTGTAGGTGTCCTAAAGGGGTTTTGTCCTAGGTTCTTTTCTCTTCTTTCTCTATGCTACTTCACTTGGTGATCTCTTCAGCTCCCATGGATTTAATTACCATCTCTCTGCTGATGATTCTCAAATCTACCTATCCTGCCTCAAACTCTCTGCTGACCTCCAGTTTCACGTCTTCAACTGCCTTTCAGACATCTTGACCTGGATGTCCAGTAGGCATCCAACTGGATGTCCAAAACTGAGCTCATCATCTTTCCTTCTAAACCCTTCCCCCTTCCAAACTTCCCTATTACTGTTGACAGCAGCACCGTCCTCCTAGTTCCTTAGGCTTGCAACCTAAGAATCACCATCCCTCACCATCCTTCACCTCCCATACCCAAGGCCTGAAAATTTCACCTTTGAAACATCTCTCGAATATTCCTCCTTCTCTCCTTTGACACAGCCACCACTCTGGTGTAGGCTCTCATCCTATCACCCCTGCGCTACTCTAATAGCAGGTGGATCCACCTGCCAAATGTCTCTCCCCAGTTCATTCCATGCCCCATTCAACCTCTAAAGTGATTCAAGCCCCAACTAAAATCCCATCTTATACAGGAGGCATTTCCCAACCTCTCATATTTCTAGTGTCTTCCTTCTTAATTATTTCCTATTTATCCTATATATAGCTTGTTTGCATGTTGTCTCTTCCATTAGACTGTGTGCTTCTTGAGGGTAGGACCTGTCTTTTGCCTCTTTTTGTGTCCTCAAGGCACATAGCAGGTGCCTAATAAGTGTTTACTGACTGATTATTAAAGCCTCTCTCTCATTCAAGGAAATACTTGTTCTAACTCTCCTCTTCCCGCAGACTTTAATTTTTGCTTCTTCGATGTCACAGCTGTAAGTACCACCTGCTTGCTGTGGCACAACCTGTTACCTTAGAAATGATGATGTTCTCCCAAACACCGAGGGACAACTTCTTCAACATGCCCGGTAACCATAGCAGCTGGGCTGGGAAATAGGAGCCCTTGTTTAAGTGTGGACAGGTTTTGTGATGCACAAATTTAATGAAACTGTTTGGGGAAACTTTTCATAATATTTTTACAGGAAAGAAGTGAAAAATTGTTCCTCTTGATTGTGATTTGTTTACCAAAGAGCTAGACTAAGAACTCCTCTGCTAGAAAGAAATCCCAATGAGGGCAGGCATCTTTAATTCAGGTTTTTAACTCCCATGCATATATACATTCAGTGGTCACATATCAGCAAGTTAGGAAATATGTACATCAAAGGTGCAAGGCTTTGATGGCAAAATAAAAGTAAACAGGAGATTCTTCTGGCCCACCCAGTGGCATAAATAAACTATCCAGTACTTGTTTTGTCGGACAAAGGGATTATGCTACCACTAGACCTATGTTGGATTTTTGTTTTGTTTTATTTTCAATTTTTTAAATTATCAAGCATTTCTTTTTTTCTTCTTAATACCTCCCCACCCCCCACTCCCACTATGATCAAAAAAAGGAAAACTAAACCCATGTAATGCTTAATCAAGCAAAACAAATTCCCACATTGCCCATGTCCAAAAGTGTGTCGGATACTACATATTTAGTTCATCAACTCTGTCAGGAGGTGGGTAGCATACTTCTTCATCATAGACCTATAATTTCATGAAAGTGGAACAAATTCTAGCAGATTAGCTGATCAGAGAGGTTAAGTATCCACTATGTGCAGAACTTTATAGAGTTGTGACAAAACCACCTAAGTGCCCCTTCCACCGAGGGGCTCCCCTCCTTTGCCACTGATCACTTCTGCTTCCACTGCCTGTTTTATTAACAGGGAGTCCTTTCCTAGACTTTGATCTGAGGACTATAGCTTGGCCCCATACCCAAAGTCCTCTGAGCCTTGGATCCTTTCAGACTGATCCCTAATTGACATATTGCTAAAACTTTGATCTAAGGCCACCTCTAGTTCTCAGATTGCAGAGCTTTCAACGGGGAAAGCCCCTAGACAGAAATGTCCCACTTCTTTATGTCAACCTTTCTGCTTTTAATTCGGTAATTCCTGCCTAATTTGGAATACACTTGGTGTGGTGCTTCTGTGGTAACATGTCCCTTAAAAGGGATGAGGTCAGGCACTGGGAAAAGGATTTCCCAGGGAAAGGGATTGCTCCCCCTCATTTGTCTGGTGTCTGTGGCCCAACTTTCCCATGGCATCGAGTTCAGAAGGCATCAGCCCCCATGCCTTTGATCTTTTTTTTCCTCAAGGCGAAGAGATTAAAAAGGAGACAAAAAGTTAGGGAGAATGGAACCCATGTAATGGGGCCTGGGGAGTATGCCTGGATCTAGCTAATATGGAGGCACTCCTTAGGGGGCTTGCTTGGGCATGCCCAGATCTCCTAAGATGGAGGCTGAGAGGTGTGTTGCATTTGACCCCACCCCCAGGGTTTTCCAGTATCATTAAGGGGGTTAGGGAGTATCTAGGCCCTGTGCAAATGGTACCAGCCACCCCTAGTTGTAGGGGTTAGTCTTCTGCTTCCCAGTTCCGTTCAGCCACTAACAGGCAGATTAGCTTTTACAAAGGAATATTTACTTCAGAAGGGAAAATCACAAATGTAACTCCCTCAACATGGGGAGGCATACTTTTCCCCCACCCCACCCCACCCTTAATACCATCTCTGTCCCTGGGGAGGGAAAGGTGTTTAGGTCCGTAGTTTAGCTCAGTTCCTACAGAGCACAGTCCCAGTTCCCAGTCCAGATGCCCAGCCTCGGGCTTGAGTGTCAGGTACCCCGGCCCCTCTACCTTCTCTGACAGACTGGCTCCAAGATCATTTTGGCTCCAATTCCTAGGTCCAGTGGGGATTATCTCCAGGACCTAAAACTGAAGACAAATGGAACACAGCATAAATAAACACTCCCAGGCCCTTCTTGTGGAGCTGAGGTAAAAGAGATGGAGCAAGGGAGGAAGTCTTTCCCCTCTCACTGGTCCAGGTCACAGGACCTGGGCTGTGGGTGAACTGTGATCTTCCCTCTCTGTACACAGAAAGAGAGAGATCCCAAGAAAGAGCAGGGAGGAAAAAGTTACCATCTCAGTCTCACTGGTTTGAAAAAGGAAGCCTATTCTGGTCATACAGCCATTCAAAGGAGGCTACACCTTCCCCATGTGGCAGTGGAAGAATAGGGCCTCCATCTTAGGAGATCTGGGCATGCCCAGGCAAGCTTTCCTAAGGATGCCTACATGGTAGGCTATCTGGGCATGTTCCAAGGGCCCCATTACACACAAATAGTTAATTCTGAGAGGCGCTTACCTCTCCCTGTTACTTGAGAACCCCTTTCGTGGGGGAAGGGACTGGGGAGGAAAAGTCAAGGGAAAGAGGATTCTGGGGCATAGGAACCTTTGGATACTTCATAACTGTCTTTCCTTACATGAAATAACTGTAGACTCTTTAGTCTTTTTCTTTTGTGTGAATTTTAAATTGAATTTCGTCCTGGAATCTAGAGCAAACGTGTAGCATCATTAGGCTGTGTCTCGTCAGCACTGGCCACAGGGCAGATGAGCCTAACTTGTCTAGGGGCCTTGTCTTCATAAACATCCAAGCCAAAGCTTCATCTGTGACCCACTCTCACAGACAGTCAGTCCTGAGGCTTTATTTTTTGAGCCAGCTTCGTGGATGGGCAATTACAGATTCATAGAATTTTAAAGCTAAGAACCTGCTCAGTTTACAGATGAGAAAACTGAGGCCCAGAGTCATGAATGATTTGCCTGAGTTTACATTGCAGTTAATTGCAAAACCTGGGCTAGCCCCTAACTTTACACTGTACCAAGTACTCTTTCCACCATACCATCTGTAAACTTGACCAGGAGTTTCTCTGGCTGCCATTCAGGAGACTTTGGGCTGAATATCCTTGCCAAGAGAAGAAATCAGACACTTTGGCACAGGTGGTGAGAGCTATAAGAGTCGTGCCAGAATGCGGTTTCATTAAGAGCCCAACTGAAGCCGTTGGATGAAATTTGACCTTGAAGGTGTTATCACCCGTTTTTGCACAACAAGCCAACATCAGCACAAAAACCAGCAAAGGAAAGTCTGCTTTTCTCATGTGTTCCCCCACTAACTCATGCACAGCAGCTTTCATCCTGGGTACCACCTGCTTCTGGCACAGCTCACAGAACGAGAGTTCAGTAGGCAGAAATAAGGACAATGGCTCTGTTTCCTTATGGTCACCAAGGGAGAGCCTGATTAGGGCACCTGTCTCTCTCCAGCTATCAGAACTAGGTGGCACCTGAGCAGAAAACACCCAGGTCCAAGGTAGATTCATTCTGGCATAGAAAGATCAAGTATGGAAGGTCTTGGAGCAGTAAATATATCCAACATTCATCATAGTAACATTTTGTTTATACCAGGCTTTCCTAAGGGGACCTCTAAGTACTCCAAAGGCATGGGCTCATGACTCTTGAGCCTCTCACCTTGGAGACAGGGGATTTATTGTTGTGAAGGAAGGAGAGAAAGAAGTGACTACTGTAATGGCATGAAAGAGGGGTCTTCAGTTCAGTTCACCCTAACCATCTTCTTTCCATTCACTGCATCCTTATTCCCCTCAAACAGAACTGGATTCCCATAGACAGCATGTTGACTTAGAAAAACACAAATTAACATTATCTACGTTGTATTGTATTTTTATTTCTTTTGATAATATTTCCCAGTTACATTTTAACCTAGCTGTGCCCTACTGTAGAGTTTTGCTTTTCCCATGCAGCTGTGAGTCTCAGTACATACAAAAAGAGATAATAGGGGGATTTGAGGGTGGGGGTAGAGAGGGTGTCCTTGCAGCTAGAGGATCAGAAAAGGTCTCGTGTAGAAAGTGGCACTGGAGTTGAGTCCTGAAAGAGGCTAGGGGCTCTATGAAGCAGAAATCTGGCCAGCTTTAGCTATACTTCCTATTGTACCCTGGCCATCTTTTTGCCACCCAACCCTGCTGCCATACAGGTGCCCTCTCACAACCTTCTCCCTCTTTCTATGGGAACCGTACTCAAGTCAACACTGCCTTTGCTACTGGTACATCTATGTCAGTTAGTCCCCCTCTGTCTTCCACTTACCGTCCCTGTTCCTTTCCAAACCAAAACACTCCTCTCTGGTCCTGACTCTAATTTGTGTCTTGTCTTCCACTGTTAGAATGTAAGATCCCTCATGGATCTGTTAAATATTTGTGTCCCAAGTGCTTAGCACAGGGCTTGGTACATGTTAAGAGTTTAATAAATGCTTTTTCATTCAATCATTCACTAAATAGTAAATGCCCTGTGGGTGCTGGGGATGTTAACAAAGTTTAGATAATACTCAATATTTTCTCTCATAGAATTTACAAGCCTGTTCAGGGACAAGACATACACACAGCAAATTTCCCATTGCACTGAAATCCAGAGCCTCTGCCCAAGGTATTGACCCCATTTTGTAGAAAGAGAATTGGAACCCCAGAAGACCAGGCCATACTTTGGATCCCAGAACAAGGTGGTAACAGAGCAAGGATTAGGGTTCAGAACTTGCAGGCCCCACCTTCCACCTCAGACATCAGAGAGCTTCACCCCAGCACTAACTTAAGGGCATTGCTTTCCAAACAGCAACTGTTGTAGCACTCACAGATGGACCAATAGAGTCTAGTAGGAAAAAGACTGCCAGCTAAAGTTCTTGCTCTGCGACTTCCTGTTTCCTACTTGTATGACCTTGAGCAAGTCACTTACCCTCTCTGAGCCTCAGTTTCCTCTTATGTGAAATGAAGGCATTGGGCTGGGTTTTCTTTAAGAGGCCAAGACAAACTTTACTAGCCTTTTTGTTGTCTCCAATTCCTACTTGGGATAGCAGCCAAGCATTCCTAGCCAAATTAATTGGAAGTGTCCTAGGATCCTTTCAAACTCCTGCTTTCTCACCAACCTTCCTTTCCTGTTTCCTCATCCTTCCTAATCTAACTTTTCCCCCTCTCATGTACTTAAACTGTGTTCTTTCTAGCAGAGCCCAGTGAAGAGGAAAGTAAGAGATATGGCCAGTTTAAGCTGTGCCTCTCTGGTCCTGATCTTATCTTATGCCTCCTAATTGGTAGGGCCACTGCTGATATTAAATAGCTGATATCTTTTCATCCCATGAGTGACTGGAGCCCATGGGCAGAGTTGCGGTTGATGGAAGCCCCAACCAACATCTCATTGTGCTGGTTGAGGTCAAAGTGCCTGTGGCCACCAAAACTCATACATAGAAATCTCTTCATTGTGGTTCCTGCTGCTTAGAAATTTGTGAAGGAAAGGATTCTCCAGGATGGAAAGTTATTAACAGCAAAATTGAAGGTGCTTTAGAGCTCTACCCCACCCCCAATCTTTAAATGTCCATGTTTTCTTTAATCTTGGGGGCAGGGGGGACAATTGGCTTTTGGCTATTTTATGTACCTTGGGACTGTGCATTTTATTAAATATATCCAGTTAGTTCCATCGTCTCTGAATACAGCCTGTCCTAAGTCTTCCAGACCCTGTAAACTGGGCTGAGAGATGCTATTAACCAAATGAGATTCCCTCTGCTCTCTTTGAGCAGACTGAAGGTCTCACCAGGAATGCTGCCCTGTACACATGAGGATTTCAGATTTCATAGTGGGGTCCTTTTGTGGCCCTCAGTCTGTGAACCTCTATTAGCCCCTTTGCCTGAGGATCAGAGTTCCTTGGTTTCCAAGAAGCGAAAAAAGCAAAATGAGGAGAGAACCTCTAGGCAGAAGAAAAGAGCACCAGTATTTACGTTGTGTGGCACTCTGTGGGGGTGGAAGCATGGCTCTTAGGGGGGAACAGGGGACAGGAGACTTAGTGAACTCTATGCTGAAGGGAGATGTGAAAGGCCTCACAGAGAAACGGTCAGTGGCACTTTCCCATGGCCGATGTTACTCAGGCCGAGTGCTAATGTGAGTAACAGCTGTAGCACAGTCAAGGTTGAGTAATGCTTTTACCCCTTCTCCATTCAGAGACCCTCGTCCCTCTGTGCCCCTAAGACCAAGGTCAGAGTTCACTCACAATGTCATGGGTCCCACAGCCGTGGTGGGGGGATTGGGAGGAGGAGAGGGAGGAAAGATTGCCTCTCAGACAGCCTTCTGCCTTTTGGCTGGGGGAAAGAAGCCAGAAGCATGGTTATTCCTGGGAGTCAGGCCATGCCCTTGGCTCCCTGTTCCGGCAGACCCAGAGGACCCAAAAAAAAAAATGAATGGAGTGAAAGGAATTGCAAATGGATAAAATAACAGCAGAAACTTGTTCTTGATTTTGAAGGTAGGTCCAAAGCTATCAGCAGCATCGTGGAATAGTAGATACTGTGTTGAATTAGGAATCAGGAAGATTTGCTTTCACATCTTTCCTCTGACACTAGTAGTGTGACTATGGGAAGATCACTTAACCTCTCTTAGCCTCAGTTTCTTCATCTGTAAAAAGGAGATAATAATACATAAAGTATGTGTTTTACAGAGTTGTTGGGAAGCTCAAATGAAATAATATATGCAAAGCACTTTGCAGACCCTAAAGTACTGCATAAATGTCACATAGAGCAATTGTTACCCTTGTTGTCATCCTCTTCAAAGATCCACAGCAGAGAAGAGTCCTTGGTAGACATCGTTCAGAATGAGGGTATAGAATTCGTGCCTGTGAAACATTGTCACATAGGCCCCTACCTCTCCCATGGGAGGATGTGCCTTGTTTTCCCCAATAGGTACCAGCAAGCACTGCCTGATCATTCTGGAGCCTTTTAGGGAATAAACCGGTTTGCCTTGGGGAGTGACCTCATTTCACCCTATGTGAAAAGAAGAAATTTTTCTCCCTAGGATTTTCTGTTCAGTCAGCATGTGGGCATCAAGGGGAAGAAAAAGTCTCTATGTCTATGACAGTAAAACTTTGACAGGGTTTCTGCATAAATGAAGCCTGTGTTGTTCTACATGACTCAAGTTCAAGGAATTGTTTAGATCCTCCTCATCTCATACCTGGCAGTGTGTGTGTGCCATGCCAAGGCCTTGAACAAGATGATGCCCTTTGCCCCTGTGACAGTCATTTCAGTCTGCTGTCACAGCTTCTCATTGTGGGAGGTGCTGACCTCTCATTTATGGGCAGATGCTCTCCTTGAGTCAGGGAGCAAAATGTTCACTCCTCACTTCTAAGGCTGGATTCTCCAAATCAAGCCACATTGAGGACCTCTCTCATCTCTGTCTCTCTCATGGAATGTAACCTCATCTGTCCTGGGTTCTGGGTTTCTGTTCCTTCTTGGAGAGTCCTGGCTTTCCAAGCTTGCTTAGCAAAAGCCAGGCCACAGCCAAGGAGTCCCACAGTGAGCTGCTCTCTACAGAGCAGAGGTAAGTCACCAGACATGTAGTGACATGACCCAGTTTTTCCCACAGAGACTGAACACCTTCATTGCACATTAGGTCTAGTTCATCATAGGGAGTTTTGCCAAGAGCATCCTTGCTCTTGCACTCTTCTCCCTCAAGCACAGAGCTAGAGTTGGGTTTCGTCGGTGGTGTTCTGATGTGATTCCCCATTGCTATTCCTGCTCACAACCATCTGTCACTGACACAACCTGGAAACTTCACTGACCATTTATTCTTTTTTGCAGCTATTTTAGTGCATGAATAATAAGGCTTAATCCCACTTTAGGTGTTTAACACTGAGCCATCGTTGGATGGACTGATAGCATCTGTTTCTGGCAGGAAGGAGCTGTACTTCTAGAGTAGAACCTTGCCAGATTCAGAATAAGGCCAAACAAAGAGGGTTTGATTATAGAAATCCCTAAAGGACCACATTTCAGGTGGTTCATCATAATAATATGTATAGACAGCGTTATAGCAATGGTCCAGTGTACATACCCCTGGAAGAAAGCTGTTGAATTGTCTAGGACAAAGAAGGGTGAAAATACTGAGACACAGACTGGACCTTCCAGTGGTGTCATCACAGCACTGAAGTCCATGTTGCAAAATCCCCTTTGGTTTACTATTCCTTAATACTTCATATCACCTTCATGGATCCTGCTGTCATCTTCTTTGTCTTAACCCAGAGTTCTCTTCTGGTTTAGAAAGACCAGAAGAGACTGACACTCTTCTTTTCTTCTGAACTCTATGGCCTGGAAACATAGAGACCTTGGTATTTCTCCTAGTCTACTCAGTAGTTGAGATGTGGTCCAAATGAACTGAATGATGTAACTCAGGGGGCATGTGTGTTCCTAAAGATTTTGTTAGGCAGTCTCACATAGCTCTTACATGCTATCACATATTATGGTCCTCTGTGTTTGTATGTTATGTTACTAGACTGTGGATTCTTTCAGGTCAAGGAGTATGTCTTCTCTAAGTTTTTGTTTTTGTATTTGTTTGTTTTTTTTTTTTCAAATCTCAAGCGCCTAACAGAATGTTCTGTACATAATAGGCACTTAGCAAATGAATTATGCAGTTTACAACTCCGGCTCATCTCCCTCTGTAGCTAGAGGTTATCTGTAGCCTTCAATCATCTGTGAGAGTGAGAGAAATTCAAAGAGGTGGGGCAATCGTTCGGACATTTGTCAGTTTGTCAGGCACAGGCAGGAGGGGGGAAAGCCTGAACTAGTTACCCAAATCCATACTGGTTTTCTTTCTGAAAAAGGGGACCCTCACTTTGTCCTCAGTTCCCTATATCAGAATCACAAGCTGTCCAATTTCCCAGTGGAAAATTCTGTTTAGCCTATCAGTTTGTTAGTGTTCATTCAAATATCAGCTTATCTATGTGCCTGGATCTATCTTTTGTATTTTCACATTTTACTTTTTTGTTCTCTGAAATTAAGGAACATGCCTGTACAGCTTGCTTTGTGTGTTGCCTAACAAAACACTATGTACAAAGCAGAATAAAAGTAATGAAAATGAAATAGAGTTTCTTTTAAAGCAGGAAACAGAAACAGATACCCTATTCAGTGATCTAGTCTGTGGAGGAAGTCATCTCTACCATCCAGGCTACAGTAGCTACAGTAAGGCTTTGGGTATTGATGTCTCCAAACAGCCTGAGAGGAATTCTGTAATTGTTCTTTCCTCTTCGGGAGGCTGAGGATGCTGGATGATAATTCACATTGGCATGATGTGTTCTTCAGTGAGAGCCCTTTCACCCTCAGTAACATCCCATCCATCCCTAAGCAAGCCAAATTGTCAGCAGTTTCTCTTCAGATCACTTACCCAGATTCCCTACCTGTAGTCACCTTCATCGGTCTCCAGTAGCAGAATTATCTGTGACAATACAGTCTCTGAATTTCCAGGACTCTTTAGCAGATTGTACATATATCAGCAACAGCCTGGAAGTGAATCACAAGTTGCATTGGGGGAGACCATGTGCACTCTTAGGTCTCCCTCTTTCCTACCCGTTTGCAGTTCATGGTTCAGTAACATTGATAGCAGCTATTTTGTTGACCATCCTGTAGAAACAAATGACTGAACTACTTCACTGGAAAATTATTTGGGGAGAGGGAGATATTTGTTCCATTGCCCTTCCAAGGTCAATGGGACCCCCAAGATAAGAAGGGATGGTAGATTTCTAGCTGAGATTTCCTATTATTCTTCCTTGAATCTAGCCACAATTCACATGTGTCCAGACATTCAGCCCAGGGTCATTTCCTCAAACCTTATTCAGAAAGTTTCTGGTCCCCAAGTGGAAATTTCAGAGCAAAAGAAACCCGTCTCTCTCTACAGTCTTTCCCTCAGGGTTCAGGTCTCAGACCAGGCAGGGTATGTTGATCTGGGCCAACCTGGGATGTTACTGAGCCTGGAGCAAAAGAAGCTATGATCAATTTGTGTTCCTAGAAACAGAGGATCCAAGATTGGAAGTAAAATGAAGAAACAAATGAAAGGGAATTGTCCCCATTTCATACCTTAGCTCTCTCTTTAGTTCTAAATTCATTTAGAATTTTCTTTAAGAAGGCAGCATGGTAGAAAGAACACTAATTTCTGAGTCAAGAGATCTGGGTTTGAATTCTACCTCAGACATTTACTTATCTGTGTGATTACAAGTAAATGACTTTACCTCTCAAAATCACAATTTCCCCCATCTCTAAAGTGAGAGTAATGATATTGTGCTTATATTACTTACCTTGGGCATGTTGGGAGGAAAATGCTTTGCAAACCTTAAAGTAACTCTGTATCCTAATTTTCTAAGACTCTGGGACTCAGCCTAGCTCATGATTTACTTGAGCTGGTAGACCAAATCTGTTGTGCCTGTTATCATAATTAGTAATAGTTCTAATTTTATTCTACTGAATGTATATTTAATGAATACCTACTATGGGTAAGGATCTGTCCTTTTCTGGCAGTGGTTATTTTAACTACTCTTCAAAAGCTGGAGTAAACTGCTTATGGAAACCACTTCCCAGTAGAAATAACACAGAATTCACCACTGTCTAGTGTGACATATGTGATCAGACTTTACCTCTCACCAGTGATTTTCAAAATATAGACCTATCTCTGATTCTAAAATGAAAATCATAAAAAATAAACCAAGGATTAATACTATGAGAGTTCACTTTACACACAATTTTAAAGGTGGTTTAATAGATAAAAAAAGTATATCTGTGTTAAGTTCTCAGTGTGAGCAGAACAGGGCACTAGGTATTCACACTGAAGCAGTGTCTCACCCTTTATCCCTGACTCCAGAAGGGGATTACAGGTAAAATCCTAATCTGAACTTTAGGTAACTTAATATCAAGGCTTCCTCAAAGACAGGCCTAGTGATATTTCCTATCCCGCAGGCTAACCAGGTCAGTTAAAGTTTTCCTCCAGGTGCTTTCTGATAATAATTTGGTCTGGCACTACTTCTTAATAGGTTGCTATTTGTACTTTCAGTGAAAGAAAGTTGGAATTCTTTGAGCATCTGAGGTTAAAATATATTTGTGATTTTTTTATTTCATTTTCACCCTCCAGAGGTTGACATAAATTTAATCTGCTTGCATCTCTTTGTCTGCACTAAAACCAGCAAGTGCTATAAAGACCCCAGGATGTCCCCAAAGCCTTGGGAGATGTTTTAATGAGCTTTTCAGAACTTTGACTTACTCTTTATTTTTCCTGAGAAAACAGGAAGTTGAGTTGGCCGAGAGGAAGCCCACTCTAATCCCCCGAGATAGCCTTGTGGTGGGGTGGGTTCTTCAAACGCTGGCAATGAGGCCTCTGCCCTGCTGGAGACGGACTCTGAGAATCTCAGTCGCAAGATGTTGGTTCCCCAGACACCACATGATAATGAAAGGAGAAGTCATATGCTTAGAGAACAAAAGGCCTGAATCTCTCCCAAGTCCCAGATGCACTCAGCAGTTTCCTGGAAATGATGACTGGGAACCTTCTCCATGCTCCCTCAGCTGAGCAGAGACACCTATCTTCCAGAAACCCATTGTTAGAATCAAAATTAATGCTCTCTATGGAAATGTGAATAGTCAATTATTTTCTGTTCCCTGCATAGCTCAAGCTTTTATCTGTTTGGTACATCTCAGCATACCCTGAAGCTGAGTTCTCTTATCTGCTACGGGAAGGAGCATAGAACTCCTGGGTCAGGGGGCTTGGATGTAATGCAGACTTCTTCACCATGGTGGTTCCTTGCCTGGTTCTCCTAAAGAACTGTACCTCACTGCTCAACAGATCCTTGGTCTGCCTTCCTGTAGCTCTGCCTAGGACTGCCTGCCTGCCAGAATTCAGGCATTATCACCTTGGGCTTTGTAGGAGAAGCCTCCCATCTGACCCTGCTCTGGGCATTCCAACGAGCCATTTCCTGACACACAGGTTCTACTCTGTCTTCCTCTGTTCTGAGCAGACACTTCCCCCAGTGCTTACACTTCAGCCTCTCTGTAAGGTAAGGCTGCCTTTGGTCACTAGAACCAGCCACCTGGGGGAATAACCTAGATGTTCCTCTTTTCTCCAGTTTTGGGAATAGCTGGAAGCCTCACCTTATCATACAATGTAAGAGCAAAGGGGCAGAATTAATTTCAGATCCATCAATTACCCTAGTCAGATGAAAAGGAATGACGTGTGAACTTTTAAGTCTAGAGGGGCTTTTTCCTCCAAAAAAGAAATAAGGAGAAAATGGTATGGCATTGAATGGCCAATCAGAGACAAGAGAGTTATTTAGAGAATTATTTAAAAATGATAGATTTGAATCTCTCTGAAAAAGAATAAGTGTCTGCCCTATCTGGTGGAGACAAGTGAATGACTTAAGTGACCTTTCAAGTCCTTACCTAGCAAGAGCATCTTCTGTCAATCTTTACTCAGATTTCCTGGATATTGGGTCAGGTCCCTTAAATAAATTAAATGAATCTCATAACTTTAGGCCGAGTAGGCTTTGTGAGAAAAGTACTGCATGAAATGGGCCAAGAATGAAGCCATGGATTAAGCAGTGTTTTCTCTTCTGTCTTGTTTTTCTCCCTCCTCCTCAGCCCCATCTGAATTAAGCCAGCAGCCAGGCAACATGACTCTTACCAGGCTTTGCCAGTGAAGGTTCATAAACTCATTCCTGGGAACAGCTGAGCATCTATAACAGGGCTCAGCTCCACAAGTTACATTTCTGTGAATTATGTCTCTGTAGGCCCTATCTCCATGGGTCAGGTATCCTATTTATCTCCCTTTATAGTATCCCTTTCACGTGTTACATGCATACATGTATGTACACATACTGATACATATACACACATGTTGTTTTGGTTTTTTCTTTTGCTTTTTGGTGAGTTGGTGAATTGAGGTTAAATGACTTACTTGCCCAGGGTCACACAGCTAGTACGTGTCAAGTGTCTAAGGCCGGATTTGAATTCAGGTCCTCCTGACTCTATCCACTGGGCCACCTAGCTGCCCCTATATGTGTATTTTCAAAGTGGTTCTCATAGATTCCTGTTATACTTGTCAAATACTGAAGACTGACATTGATGTTAGAACACACTCATTTGGCCTTGTTCTGCATCAGATGTACATAGATTACATCTCTGTAAATAGTTATATGTCCATAGTCCATGTTTGCATAATCATCTAGGTATCCACAGGTCATCTCTCACTGGGTTACCTGTTTGTAGATTCCTCAATTATCTTGGCTTTTTAGTGGAGGCATGCCGAAGATGTGGGAAGCTCTGAAGCTTCATGTCAAACATTGCACTCCCTTTCCTATGACTGTGTAGCATCTAAGATCTTCAGACTGTTGTGTACCGACTTTGTGAAGCCTTTGGCACCATTAGCAGAACTGGCCTCTGCCACCAAAAAGTCTTTCCCCATCATATCCTGAGGTTCCTCACCAGCAGTTGTGGTTGTTTCCAACAAAGTGGGCAGAACTTTATCTGACCCACTACCCATTTCCAGGGGAGTTGAGTGGGACTAGGTGAGAGGCCCATGTGACCTATGAACTTGGGACTAGTGACAGAGAATCTAGCAACTCAACAGGCTAGGAATGCCATCCTGTTTTCTGAAGGCATTCAGTCCATAGCCAAGGGTCCTAATAACCAACTGTACTTGAAGCTCTCAGACAAGGAAGATGTGGAATTGGTCTTGGCAGAGCAAGTGTCCCACTACAGACAGGTGCCAAGCCAGAAGATAGCTGAGACTGGGGACTAGCCAGAGTGTTTCATGTGACCAGCAAGAGTTGAAATATGTGCATGAATGAATGTTGCCACACAGATGCCTATTAACATACCCATGAAGAAGATGTTGTTGGTGTCTTTTATGAGGAAAATAGCTATTCCCAGCTTGTAATATGCTATATATATTACATATTGACTTAACATTAATATAGGATAAGTAAAACCCTCAGTAATCTGCTATTTACATTCAATTTATGCTTTCCTGATATTTTGAAACATGTCTAGTTGTACCCCAGGATAGAAGGCTATGGTTGTGCTTTGTGTTTTTTCCCCCAGTAAGCCCAGGGCAGAGATCTGCTCACAGTCTCTAATAATAATAGCTTCCATTTTTATATAGCACTTTATAATTTACGAACTACCTTCTTCACTGAAGTTCAGAGATTTACACCCATGATCATCACATGCTTAGCAAGTGCTTGAGTGAGAACTCAAACCTAGGTCTTCTAATTCCAGAATCCTCAGATATTTAAGCCACTTTGCTGTTCTGCCTCATTAGAGCAATGTATATATGCAGATCCCCATGATGACCCCCAGTTTGGGACCTGCCTACCTCCTGAGGTTCTTTGTAGTTCTATAACATGTAAAAACCACTTCTAGTTTCAGCAGGATTACAGTTCTGCTTTTCCTGGCTCACACATTCTAGTTCAGTTTCTTCTCTTGGATTCGTGCAGTACACTTGCAGCCTGGTGCCAGGATCCTTGCATCTGGAAGGACAGCCCATTCATAATGCGCCTAAGTCGAGTAGCATTGCAGCCAATTTGGCTGCAGACATGGGAGGAAAAAGTCTGGCACACAGCTCCCGTTTTTATTGTGGTTGTTTGTTGCTTCCAGTTGTGGAGAGAGCAGAGAGGGAAGGAGGCCTGGTTCTCCTGGCAGTGCCTCACAGAAATGTTTGCTTTAGATGAGTGATCTGGCCAGCCCTAGCTCACCACTGTATGTCTTCTTATAAAGCCTGCTATCCAACATTTGACATACGTCCTGGAAAATACAGTGCTTCTACAGCAGAGCTGCCTTCATTTGCTACATTCTCCTCCTTTAGTCTGGGATGAAGTAAGGGACCTAGAAGAGAAGGAATGAGCAGGAATGTATTTATTTCCAAGGTCCCTGAGAAAAGGGCTTCTCAGTAAAGATGAGTTTATCTGTTCCAGGGAAAATATCGAATTTTGGGAAGCTGTAGACCGATAGACTTTTAGGGAACAAAGGGACCCTGTAAGTTCATACAAGGCAGGTTTACATCTTCTTTTGTCTTTTTGTATTCCAAACTCCAAGCACAGGACCTTGCAAATGATAATGACTATTATTATTAATGATAATAATAAAAATATGCTTATGGTTATTAACCTGAGTGCCTTCATTTAACAGTTATGGAAGTTATGTCCCAAAGAAGCAAAGTGGCTTTCTATAGTCATCAAAAAAGTTTAAATGAGGTTGTCAAAAACAAAATCTAGAGCCCCCACCCCCCATGAGAACACTGTTAAGGATTGGAAAAAGACTCAGCTTTAAAGAGATAGGGCAGCTAGAGGGTGGCCTAGTGTGGAAATCAGAAAGACCTGAGGCCAAATCCAGTCTCACTAGTTGTATGGCTCTAGGCTAGTCAGTCAGTCTGCCTCAGTTTCCTCATTTGTAAAATGGGGATAGTAATATCAGCTACCTTGCAAGGTTGCTGTGAGTATCAAATGAAATAATATTTATAAACTGCCCAGCACAGTGCCTGGCATATAGTAAGCACTATATAAATGTTACCTGTTGTTGTTGTTAGATGTAGGAAGCCATGGTAGGCAAAGCCCCCTTTCTAGCCTCCTATTTCTGTCAATGGCCTACCATTCTTATTGGGTAAAAAGCCTTGGTCATCTTTGACTCACTCTTCTACTTCACCCTCTAAATCCAATCAGTTCTCAAGTACTATTGGTTATTTCTCCAGTGTCCCTCAGTTTCTTTTCCATTCTCATGACATCCAATCTAATCCAGACTCTCATCTCTTCGTGCCTGAATTACCACAGGAGCTTCCTAACTAGTCTTTTTACTAATCACCTTTCCCCTTCTAATTAATCTGCCCTTGCTGCCAGAGTGTTTCTCAAACAGTCCTTTCTCCATGTCACTCCCTTGCTCTGAAATTTTGAGTGACATTATACTGACTTCCAAATTGGCCATATGCCTTAGAATGACATTCAAGATCTTCCGTAATTTGGCACCAGCCTACCTAACCTATCTTTCTGTCATTATTCCCAAAGGTGCCCCTCTCTATTTTAATCAGAACCACTTCGTTACCATCCCAGATTCTTGTGCACACTACCCACTTATGCACCTTTAATCCTGATACTCCCTGTACCCAGGATTCCCTTCTTCCTGCTCAAAACATATCCTCCCTATACTCCAAGACCCAATGCAAATCTGCATATCCGTCAATCAGCAAGCACGTATTTAGTGCTTGCTGTGTGCCAGGCACTATGTTAAGCACTGGGGATACAAAGAAAGGCAAAAACAGTCCTTGCCCTGAAGGATTAGGGAAAGACAAACATGAAAGTACCCAGATATATACAAGAGGTAATCTCAAGGCACAAATCAAAAACTGGTGGACTGGGAAAGGTATCCTAAGGAAGGTAGGATTTGAACTGAGTCTTGAAGGAAGTCAGGGAAACTGAAAGGCAGAGGTGAGGTAGGAAAGCATTTCAAGCCTCAGAGACAGCTAGTGGAAAGGCAAGGAGATGAAAAATGGAATGTCAAACGTGAAAAATAGAAAATAACAGTAATAACCAACATTTATATAGCTCTTACTAGATGCCAGGCACTGTGCTAGGTACTTTATAATTTTTATCTTATTTAAGCCTTACAACCATCTTGAGAGGTAAGTGCTATTTTTATCCCCATTTTATAGATGAGGAAGCTGAGGGAAAGGTTAAGTGACTTGCCCAGGGCCACACAACTCCTAGGTGTATGAGGTCAGATTTAAACTCCGGTCTTCCTGACCCCAGGCACAGTGCTCTATCCCCTCCCTATACCACCTAGCTGTCCAGTATGGATGGATTATGGAGTATACTGAGGGAAGTAAAGTGTAAGAAGATTGAAAAGGTAGGAAAGGGCTAAGTTATAAAACAAAGAGGGTTTTCTTCTTTCTTTCTAAATTTTTTTTCCAATTACATATCAAAACAATTTTTAACATTCATTTTTTAAAATTTTGAGTTCCAGATTGTCTTCCTACCTTCTTCCCGTCCCACCTCATTAGAAGGCAAGCAGTTTGCTATAGGTTATACATGTGCAGTCATGCAAAACATTTTTCCTTATTAGTCTTGTTGTGAAAGAAAACACAGACCAAAAAAAAAAAAACACCAAGAAAAATAAAGTTTTTTTTTTTTTAAAGCATACTTCGATCTGCATTCAGACTCAATCTGTTCTTTCTCTGGAGATGGATAGCATTTTTCATTACGAGTCCTTCCAAATTCTCTTGGATCATTGTATTGCTTAAAATAGCTAAGTCATTCACAGTTGATCATCGTATAATATTGCTGTTACTGTGTACAGTGTTCTGGTTCTGTTTTACTTCACTTTGCAGCAGTTCATTAAGTCTTTCAAAGTTTTTCTGAAAGACTCCTGCTCATCGTTTCTCATAGTACAGTAATATTCCATCACAATCATATGCCATAGCGTGTTCAAACATTCCCTAATTGATAGGCATCCCTTCAATTTCCAATTCTTTGCCATCACAAAAAGAGCTGTTATAAATATTTTGTTCTTGTAGGTCCTTTCCCTTTTTTAAAAAAAACTCTCTGGGATACAAACCTAATAGTGTATTGCTGGGTCAAAGGATATGCACAGTTTTATAGACCTTTGGTCATAGTTCCAAATTGCTCTCCAGAATGGTCGGATCAGTTCACAACTCCTCCAACAGTATATTAGTGTCCCAGTTTTCCTACATCCTCTCTAACATTTGTCATTTTCCTTTTCTGTCATATGAGCCAATCTGATAGGTGTGAGGTGGTACCTCAGAGTTGTTTTAATTTGCATTTCTCAAATCAACATTGATTTAGAGAATTTTCTCATATGATTATAGACGGTTTTGATTTCTTCATCTAAAAAGCGCCCATTCATATCCTTTGACCATTTATCAATTGGGAAATAACTCTTATTCTTATAAATTTAACTCAGTTTTCTATATATTTGAGAAATAAGACCTTTAGCAGGGAAACTTATTGTGAAAATTTTTTCCCAGTGTTTGTAAGATGCTGGTTTTTAACCTATTTGCTGTTCACTTCCATTTTATGGATGAGTTCATCCCATTCACATTCACATTCACAGTTATGATTAACTGTGTATTTTCTTCCTAATTTTTCCCTGTTTATCCTTCTTTCCCTCTCCTTTCACCCTGTCCTTCCTTAAAAGCATTTTGCTTTTACCTTTCCAAATCCTCCCTCCCTTCTATCAGCCTCCCCCTTTTCTTATCTTTCTCCCCTCCTACTTCCATGTAGAGTAAGATAGATTTCTATACCCAAATGAATGTATGTATTATTCCCTCTTTGAGCCAGTTCTGTTGAGAGTAAGGTTCAAGCATTGTCTGCCACCACCACCATCTTCCTCTCCACTGTTAAAGCTATTTCACATCTCTTTTATGTGAGATACTTTACCCCATTCTACCTCTCCCTTCCTCCTTCTCCCAGTGCATTCTTTTTTCTCACACCTTAATTTTATTTTTTTGGATATCATTCCATCATAGTCAACTCGCACCTGTGCCCTCTGTCTATGTATAATCCTTCTAACTCCTCTAATAATGATAAAGTTCTTAGGAGTTACAAGTATCATTTTCCCATGAAGAAATGTAAACAGTTTAATTTTATTGAACACCTTATGATTTCTCTTTTCTATTTAATTTTTTATGTTTCTCTTGAGTCTTGTATTTGAAAGTCAAATTTTCTATTCAGTTCTAGTCTTTTCATCAGAAATGCTTGAAAGCCCTCTATTTCATTAAATGTTTATTTTTTCCCCTGACGGGTTATACTCAATTTTGCTGGGTAGGTGATTCTAGCTCCTTTGCCCTTTGGAATACCATATTCTGAGCCCTACAGTCTTTTTATGTAGAAGCTGCTAAATCTTCTGTTATCCTGATTCTGGCTTCACAGTATTTGAATTGTTTTTTTCTAGTTGGTTGTCTCATTAACCTGAGATCTCTGGAATTTGTCTATAATATTCCTTAGAGTTTTCATTTTGAGATCTCTTTCAGGAGGTGATGAGTGGATTCTTTCCATTTCTATTTTACTCTTTGGTTCTAAAATGTCAGAGCAGTTTTTCTTGATTATTTCTTGAAAGATGGAGTCCAGGCTCTTTTTTTGATCAGATAGTCTAATAATTCCTAAATTATCTCTCCTGGATCTATTTTCTAGGTCAGTTGTTTTTCCAGCGATATACATTAGATTTTCTTTTTTTTTTTATTCTTTTGACCTTGTTTTTATTGTTTCTTGATAGTATTGTTTCTTGATGACTCATGGAGTCATTAGTTTTTACTTGTCCAATTCTAATTTTTTAGGAATTATTTTCTTCAGTGAGCTTTTGTACCTCCTTTTCCATTTGGCCAGTTCTAATTTTTAAGGAGTTCTTTTCTTCAGTGAATTTTTGTATATCTTTTCCCATTTGACCAATTCTTCTTTTTAAGGAGTTCTCTTAAATGGAATTTTTGTGCCTTTTTTTTTTAACCATTTGGTGTATTCTGTTTTTTAAGGTGTTCTTTTCTTTAGTTTTGTGTGTGTGTGTGTGTGTGCTTCTTTTACCAAACTGTTAACTCTTTTTTCATGGTCTTACATCACTCCCAATTCTTTTCCCAATTTTTCTTCTACTTCACTTATTTGATTTTTTAAAATCCTTTTTGAGCTCTCCCAAGAATTCTTTTGGGGACTTAAGATCAATTTACGTTTTTTCTTTGAAGCTTTGCATGTAGCTGTTTTGACATTGTTGTCTTCTGAATTTGTGTCTTGGTCTTCCCTATCACCACTTACTATGGTGAAATTCTTTTTTGTTTTTTGCTCATTTTTCCAGCCTATTTCTTGACTTTTAACTTTATGTTAAAATTGGGC